AAAAAAAAAACCGACTTCAATCCCCATTTAGGAGTACCGTTAATTTCTTCATGATCCAATGTATGGAACTGAAATACCAATAAAAAAAGGTTCACATGGTCCAAAGTTATCCGGTAACATACATAAACGAAAAAAAAAAATTCCTACAAATTGATAACCTCCTCCTTTTTTAAAGTCGGTTATAAATTATATTCCCAAATAATAGGAAGCTTTATTCTTTCCAATGAAGCAGAAGTGGGAACCATTTTTACAAGTGCTATCTTCAGTTCATTGATTGAATTAATTTCGAATGTGTTTTTGGTGAAAAATGAACTGTCAGTGTATAAAAGCCTACCATAGACTACAAACTAGACCAAACAGAACGACTTAGACCTGACTAAACTTGTTACAAGGTGCCTTTTTTAAGCCTCCTAAGTATGCGCATTTTATTATTTTTTCTTTTTGCTATATTACTGAAAATGAGCACGAGGTATACTTAAGGTTTGAAAGATAAGCACACCTTAATGAAGTAGCACTTCTTGAAATAAATCCCCACTAGAGAGCCCAAATGTTTACAGTTAACAGTGTTTTCTATTTGTAAACATTCTTTGTTGAGTTTTGCGTTATTCGAAATAGCTTCAGCTTAACTATTTGTGGGCGATACAAATTCCATAAACAAATAAATAAGAAATTATGCGATGCTCACTTTAAAGTGATTTATTTTTCTAAAAAAAATAACGAAAGTCTTTATCGTTACGCTTAGATCGACTTAAGCATTTTTTATTTGTAATAGAAATATATGGTTTGGGTAAAGTGGCGCAGTGCAAATCAATTGCATGGATTACATATAATTATTAAAGTTATTGGTAAATTTTCTAAATAACTGACCTACTACAAGTTTTCAACGTTCTCCAGTATTGACAAACTTTTGATTATTTTTAATATTATTAGCAACTTAAAATCTCATTAAAATTGTCGTATCCCGAATATGTCCAATTCGAACGCCGCCTTATCTTGATATCAAATTACGAATATTTCTTGAAAGCATTTGCCTTAATCGAATCTGGAAAAATAAGTGCAACAGCTGCTGATAATCTTTGGTAAGCGCAACTAGTTTGCCGACGAGGAATATAAATGAATTAAGCGATTTTAAGGTGGCACACACGCAATGCCAAGTAAATAAATGCCACAAAATCAAGGTGCTGGAAAATGCATAGCTAAAAGAGTTAGTTACAAAAAAAAATAATAATCCGTAAAGTGTCAAACGCACAAAATTTGTATTTAAACAATTTGACAAATTACCAAGCGGGACAGCCGCGAGTAGGCAAGTTGAGCGGGTCGCTCGCGCGCTTGCTCCCGCCAGACACTTGTTGAACTGGTCGACAGACAAACTGTTGAGCTACTCGCGGACATTGCAGAGTGGTGATTAGTGACTTGTGCGCAAGCGCGGGATGCGTTTTTTCATTACTACTGCATGCATATAGATTACAGCAACACTTAAGGCACCCGCAAAATAATCGCTTATTTTGTAAACCACTAACCAGGTGGCAGCAATTTTTTCCCAGGCTTATGGCCGGTTGGCAAAGAATTTCACGAATGTGGAAATGTGTTAGCGCAGCGGCCGTTCAGCAGGCCTTCACAACCAGTTGGTATTGTCTGCGTGGCATTTTGTGTGCGTACATAAAGCTGGGCTTAGAACGGTTTTCTTTAGAGTAAGCATAATCTTAGCTGTTTTGGCCACTTTTATTAGTGGCTTTCAAAAACTGTGGAAACTAGAGAAAAAAACAAGCGTAATAATGACGGCACAGTTGACGTTTCTGTTCTGTTGTGTTTTTATTTGTGCCGCGCAGGCGGTCCGCCAACACCAATCGCAGTGGGGTTCGATTCCGTACCGCCTATTGGCTTCTAGTTTTGCTATAGCTTTCTTGCTTGCTATCCACTTTTGCCTGTAGCTTTGTTTGCTGAACAATCGTAGAAAAATCAACGGAATTTATAGTTTTTTAATGAGCTGCATTTTTTCGCTGCGGTCGTCTTTGTGCACCGTCGCTCGACTTTCTTTCCACTCTCAGTGGCCCATCAGCACAAACTAGCTGCTATCCGTTGGCCGTTTGCGCTGGCCTAAGTAACGTTGTTAGGTGTCGCCATTGGTATTCAGGCGCGTACACATGTAAATTAGTTAGGAATTCCTACAAACAAGCTTTTCATTTTCAATCAAGCAATTCAATTTGTTCTGTTCTGACTCCACTTCACTACCGCACCGCTCCCAACTCCGCCACAGTCATTTGTGAATCCGGTTGCGCGTTATTGGTAAGCATACAGGTGTTATACACATAGCTTCCAGAGTTTTTTTCTTTTTATTTCATTTATTTATTCTTTTTTGTTCAGTAAGGTATTTAGTCCTTTGTTTACCTTAACATTCCCATATTTCTTTTTTTTTTCTGAAAGAAAGCATTGTTAATAAGAAAATTATGTTTAGCGTTAAGGAATATTAGCTGTGCTCCACGCCAATGCATTTGGCTCCGCCGCCTAATTAAATGGCGTTGATTACATCGTAGAATCTTTTTTGACAAATTACCTTGCCCCGTGCAAGCATAAAGTCATCTGTTATGAATATATCTGTAACTGCATATTCTAAATGTATAAATATTTGTGTACATATTTCATTTCCATGCGTTGATATACGATCGCATTTGATTTATGCGCAAATGGGAGAGGCTGGAGGTTGGTGTTGGCTGGCCTCCGAATGTTGTGTGTTCAAGCATTAATGTGTTAACTCTGTTCGTCGGTCGTTTCATTAACTTATCGCGCTACGTAGTTGACTTTGACCAGGCCCACATCTACGCGCATGTATGTAAGTAAGTAGTGAGCCCGCTTGAATGCCGTATTTATTTGCATCTTTGCATCTCTCAATGGCTGTTTGATGTATTAATTTAATGCATCGCGTCTCTCTTATCGGCATTTGAAATGGTATTAATATTTGAGTTGACATTCTGTGGCGTTGCTGTTGCTTTTGTAGTTGCTGCTGCTTGAGAAAACGGGTTAATACCAGATAGTCATAATTTTTGTATTTAACAAATTTTCTTTCAAATATTACAATATGTCACTTACGACATTGCGATAAGGCACAGGTTTGTGGATGTCATAAAAGCCTTGACCCATACAATTGTTTTAAAAGTTCATTTAAATAAGCTTAGAATAAGTGTGGTATGCGAAATGGAGTTTCGTTGGAAACGATTGGTTGCAAAATAGAAACCTCAAAACACACCTCAGGTTGCGATAATGCTCACAATCAGTGAAATAAAACGAAATATGATTTTTAGTATTGATGCGACGCTCAAAAACTTAACGATCCAAGGTAGACTAGGAGAGCTTTATCATCACCAGAGCCTCCATCGAGGGTGAGAGATGAATATGGTGTGCTCGTAAGACTGCCATCAGTTCTCGAAATTACTTAAACATGGTTACTAGTGAATAAACGTCACAGTGCTGTAAAATTTCGCACACACTGATCTCAGAAATTATATAAACTTCAGATCATGCTATTTTCTTGAATCTGTTCGAATATTATGTTGAATAAATCTACATTTCGGCTAAAAGGCATTGGCAAGTTTTAAGAGTATGGTTTTATGCGAGCAGTCCAAGCTAGCCATACAGAACTGAAAGGTTGCCTGCCGAGTGGGCTTGAGTTGCCCAAATCACGAGAAGGGAATCTTGCTATATCCTCCAAATATAATGGGTCTAACTAACCTGGATGTGTGAACTGCTAAAGCACACCGTCTAACGAAAACTTTGAGCCTTATCATTATGGATGTCGACTTTACAAATCCAACCAGGAACAAAATTCGTTAAGAGCTCGAAAATATGTTGGTTTTACCGCGCCATATTTGGCTGTGTAAAATGCGCTTGAGCAACACCACCAGCGCTTTTTCGAGCAGGTGTACTTTGGATCGAGTGATTTCTTTATTCTAATGTTGAAGAAAAGAATATGCGCTTGAGAAAGTCACCGCTTACTGCAGAAGATCGTGCGTTTCGACGCCAGTTCTCCCTTCTCGAAATTAGAATGATAAGCAAAGCGTCTAACCTGGTGCTAAAACAGGACAAACCAGAATACTCGTACCTCTTTTGTCACACTAGCCCGGACTTTGCTGTATACCCATCCAATAATAAAACATTCGATGGATTTGCAAAAGTTAGCTCGTATTTTTATTTTATGGCTTACTAAAGTATTCATATCCCGGTCTAAGTACTTTTCAAAAAAAT